CCCTGCAGGACAGAGCTGGGCAGGGCAGCAGAACATGTTAGAGATAAACAGAATAAACAACCTGGAAACCAGCACAGACCAATTATGGCTTCTTCTTTGGCAGCGGGGCTGACAGACAGAGACTTTCTACAATCTCGGGACCATCAATAGCCAAGATTCCGACATGGAGGGACAGGGATGGCATGTGCTCACTCTGGAGTGGCAAAGCAAAAAGAGCTGCTCTCCTTGCAGTGATTCCAGCCAGGAAAGGCATGCAGTGATATGGGAATAAATCACACAGGATTCTATTTTCTTCATGGTGGAAAAAACCCATTCTTTATTCTCATAACTCATTTTTATCCAGTTTTACAGACCTTATGTGTGACTCCAGTTGGTCAGGAGCTTTCTTGACAATTACTTTATTAGTTAATAACAAGTTGTTATCCCTTATTGGTCACTCAAACCCCATGTGTGTACATGCAGGAAAAGTTGTTTGTGAGAGATAGTTTTCATTTTTCTAATGGTGTATAGAGGTGCTGGTTGTTTCCACCCAGGAATAGATTGTTATGTTAATGAACTGCTCACACCAGGATTGCTTTCACATGGGAACCCGCAAAGGGCTAGCTTGGCAACGCCAGCCACTGATTTTAGGAGAGCAGGCTTGATTTTGTGAAGTCTTTCTTTATAATTTTTCTACCTTACTGCAACAGAACAGGTTTTTTTTTTTCCAAAATGCTGAACTTCCCCATCCCTCAGCAGCATCTCCCCAGAGCCCCCTTGGCTCAAGAGCTGCTCGTTTTAAACCATCCTCTCCTCCATGTTAAGGGGAAAGTCCCAGGGCTCCCAGAGGAAAAACTGGGCAGCAACACAACCTTTTAAAAGGGCTGTTTTCTGTGTGAGGAAACCAAGGCAGCCACAGAGAAATTGTTCCCTGAGGATCAGGAATATCCTGAGTCCTTCCCTCCGTGTTTCCCCTGCTGCTGATCAGCCACAGCCTCCATCCATTCCAGCTTGCTCATTCAAGAGCCTGCTTTAAAAAAAGTTATAACTCAGCTGTTGGGGCAGAAGCAAAGGAGGATGTGACAGGAATGTGTCACACTTGGGAATTCTGCTGGAAGATGCCACTTGCAAACAGTCTCTACTCCCACCCCTTGGCAAGCCTGGCCTGGCCCTTCCTGAGGACTCATCTAAAAGCAAGAACAAACGCTGCACTCAACAAGCCCGAGGGAGGAGAGGCTCCCACCACCTTCTCCTGAAACCTCCCCATTCTCTTTAGATGGAGGAGAAAGAATAAAAGAGGGAAAAAGTTGATCTTTTAAAATCATAAGATGATTTTATAAAATATTTTTTGCTTAGGAGAGAATTTTAGATTTGGGGGTTTTCTGCACATCTGCTGCCTTTGTTGAGTTGCAAATAACAAACTCTGGTTTCCTTTAGGAAACCTGGAGGTGACACATGTCCCAGCTGTGCTAAACATCCATAAAATTTGGGTTTTACCAGAGGTTCCAGTGCCCAAACTGATTGGCAGTGAGACACACCCAGATTCCTGCTAAATCTTCACATCCATATGAGCATTTCCATCACCTAGGAGTCCAGGATTTCCATTTAAATCATTTTCATGGTTAGGGTTCAGCTGAGAGGCAGATGAACAGCCCAAAGCCAAAACTGTCCACGTTCTCCTTGGGCATCGTGCTCAGAGCAATGATTTACTGAGGTGCAGCTGGCACGGGGCCCCAGCCATGCTCTGAGCCCCAGCAGTGCCCAGGAAAACAAATCCTGGCAGAAAATTTATTGCCTTGCAGGCAGAAGAAGCTGGCCCAGAAGTTTCCAAGCAGGAGCTGCTCTGCAAGTCAGGAGCCACAGAGATACCCAGCTTGAGGAAATTAAAGCAGGGGGAGTGCAGTTGTTCAGAGAAGGTTTGGTGAAGATAAAATTAGGATAAAATAGAGATTTGATGCTTCTTTCTTCCATAACTCCAGTGGTTGGTGTGTTTGCAAAGCCCTTGCTTTGGTCGAGTGACACATGACCATTTTTCCCTCTCTAAAGAGAGGGAGCACAGGGAAAGAGGTGCCAGTGTGGCAAATCTTGACATTTCCTGCAAAGCAGTGGATTGCCTGGGTGTCATAATAAAAACTAAAATGAAAATTAAAGGTTGAAAAAAATAAATATAAAATAAAAATAAAAATTTAATAACAATTATAATAATAATTATTATTATTATAATGGCTCGCTGCTTCTGCAGCAATTGGAGCACAGGTGCCCAAAACCTGACTGGCCACAAGCTTCCCTGGACTTGGAGAACTGGTGAGGACTCTGAAAATTCTCTCCACTCCAGACCCCTGGAGCCAAAAACATCTTTGAGAAAGCAAGACAACAAAATTCCCTTTGAAAAGATCAACGGGCAAAACATCACTTAAAAATGCTCAAAGTATTTTAGGGCATTTTTCTTTTAAATCTTTTTTCTCACTCAAATCCATCCACTGAACCTCACCCAGGCTGTTTCATGCCCTCAGAAACATGGTTTTAGGGCAAACACCCTGTTCATGGCAATGCTTCACCCAGCTCTTGTTTTATAGCCAACTGAGCATCAAATTTACAGATGCAGAAGGCACAAATATCCCTTATTCTGGTGCCAGGAGCTTGGAGCAGGAGCCTGGGCTCTGCAGCACTGCTGTGAGCAGTCCTGAAATTGGTGCAGGTTTCCAAGAACAGGCTGGCAGATGACAGCCCACCAAATGGCAGATCTGTGTCTGTCCATGCAAATCCCATTGTCTGAATCTCCAGCCCCAGTCTCACTACTCTGGGAGATTTCGTTATCCACATCTCATCTTGACACTGAAGATCTCAAGGAGATAAGGGCTCAGATGCTGCTGATATTGGACACCAGCACCATCTGCTCCTCGTCCTTATTCACTCTACATTAAAGCCTAGAGAGCTCTCATGAAGTCAGAAGAAAGAAAAAATCATGGATATGTCATCTGGGATTCCTGCTGTTTGCTGGTAATTAAGTTTGTCATAATCTTGACAGAGCTGGGAACAATGGAGGGAATCAGAAAGAAAAGGCAGAGGGAGGCAAAATATAAAAGAGTCACTCTGGTGCTTTTTCCTTCTGATTCTGATGCCAAAGAAAATGATTAAAGGAAATAATGATATCTCGTGGTGTTTGCTCTCCAGTTCCACTAGAGATAGGAATTCAGCCTAACAATTTGTCAATTTTTTCTGAAGCTCAGGTAATGCCATTCCAATATTTACTGGGCTACACGCTGGTTCCTGGGGTTCTATCAAATCAAATCTAGGCACTCCCTCTTTGTCACTCCCTGTTGTTTTGTCCTAGTTTTAGCCTACCTTTTACTTTGGGAGAGCAAATAAAGCTGAGCCCAGCTCAGCAGCAATGTCCCAGTGCTGGCCTGAAGGGCCCCTCAGCAGCAGGACCTGCCCATCCTCATCTCCCTGCAGGAAAAAGGAACCACTGGAGTTCATTTTCACCTCTTGCTGTGCTCACTGCAGCTCTTTTGGGTTGGGAAAAGCTCTTAGATCATCAGACAGTGTGCAAGGATGCAGGAGAAGCAGGAGGTGTTGGCAGAGCTTCATTTGGATGTGAGAGCTGCAGGAACCCAAAACAAGGGGCTCTGCCCTGCAGCATCCACAGAGTGCAAGAAGGGCCCTGCTGCTGGGGCTTCTCCACTGGAGAGGAGTTTCCAGGCTGGAAAGACACATTTCCAGGGAAAACAGCAGCCTTGGTACCATGAGTAGAGGGTACAGAAATTACAAATACCCCCAAGCAGTTCTGGAGTTGGCTCCATCCCTGTTCTGCCACAGCCCAGCTCTGGGGCTGCTGCTGGCACCTCCCTGTCCATGGGATCACTGGTGGGCCTGGAAAGGCTGGGTTCATGCTTGCATCCAATCTGATCAGATCTTTTCCAACCTAAAAAATTCTGTGATTTTTGCTTATTTTCCTTTAGTTTCCTGGAACGAATAATAATAATGTGCTCCTTAGCTGAAAATACAGACCCTACGAAAATAACTGCAGGAAGTGGAAGCATTCTCAAGGAAACAGGAAGAGAAATTCAGTCCATCTCACCTATGTCCTCAGAGCAAAACTTTAGAGGCATTTCCTCTAAATTTAGAGGCATTTCCTGTGCATTCCCAACTTCAAACCAGAAGCCAGAGTTGAGGTTGGGTTTGAAAAATGTGGACAGCACAGGGCTGCTGCTGTGATGTGCATCTTGTGCTGCCCCACCTCCTCCCAAACTGCTACATCTGCAGAGGGTTCTCAGAGTGGACTTTGCAGAGGGCCATGAAAACAGATTTATTTTGGAATATTTTCACTTGCCATTACAATTAATCACCAGAACCCAAGGAAAAACAGTGCAGTTTATGAAAACATCAAGCAGGGAATGTGTCTGCAGGAAC